TTCTGCCTGACAATATTAAGCAGTGAGTTGAAGAGAACATTGCAGCAGGGGACTGATTATGGGAAGGAAGAATTTACTAATGACACAAACACAGGGCTCAAGGGGCACTAGTGGGGCCACAGAAGCAGAGGTCAGGTCCAGGTCCTCCCAGTGCATTTGAGACTCCCTTTACAATGAGCAGGGTACCTGTGGAGAACGGGTTACACTCCTAAAGTAAGGAAAAAACAGATCTTGTCACCAGCCCCTCTACATACATTTATGCTCCTTTGGGCTGTCATACGAAGTGACAATGTTAGACCTACGTTCTCAGGTATTTGCAGACAGGGTATAAACGATGCCAGTATCCCAACCGGTAGGGTCCTTAAGTGACTGGGAGAAAAACACTAGAAGTCTTTCTAGAAGAAGGAACATCCATATAGTTTCAGAGAATGCCCACAAATGGATTTCGAGGCCCATAACCAGAAAGGATCAAACAATAATCAAGCCTTGGGGTCAACAAGTGTTGTGGTAGTTAAGGCACTGAACTCCCACATGGCTGACCCCAGTTTGAGTCCCAGACCAGGTGGCTTGCTTTCTCACTTTTCCTCTCTCCCTCTCTCTGGTGAACACTTGTGTCCTATAGCAAAACTTAAGAAAATTATAATAAATAAAATAAATAAATACTTTTTAAAAATAATCAGGCCTTCAAGAAAACAAGATGACTTGAGCATGAACAAGAGAGACACTACAGACAAAACTCACACTTTCATAGACTTCTGATAGCAGAATTATCAGACATATGTAGAACAACTATATTTAACGAATGTATTGATAAGTAAATAAATCTCAAACTGGAAAATATCTACAGGGAACAGGAAACTACAAAAAACAAAATGAGGCTGACGCTGTACTGCAGCGTCATTCAGATGCTGCGTATAGAAGTCAGATCCCACATGGCGAACTGAGGTTCAAGTCCCCACTCACTGGTTTCACACTGGGCTCTCAAGCAGGATGGAAAATTCAGGAAAAAAAAAAAAAAGATTGCAGTATGACCAGATGTCACTGAGGGATGCTTCCTGTCCCCTTCTCTTTCATGCTCTCTCTCACTCACATATGTGCCCTCTGGCATTTATATATATATATGTATGTGTGTGTGTGTGTATATATATATATATACACACACACATATATATGTACATATATATGCACACATATATATACATATACATATACGTGTGTGTGTGTGTGTGTGTGTGTAGATTTGGGGAAAAAACAGTAATAACAGAACTTCTACAATGCAAAAAAATTTAACTACTATAGTTGGCATTAGGATTAACAGAATAGAAGACACAAATAAAGCAAATGAAATCTTTCAGAATATAACATTGAAAGAGAAAAAGATGGAACACACAAAAAGACCACAAGAAATGTTAAAAAAAAAAAAAATCCAATGAGAAAGGTTAAAGTACCAGTGATCTTAATTGCTGAAGAGGTAGAACAAAGGAAAGAAAGAACATACAGAGATAATAGCACAGTTTTCCAGATTGATGAAAAAGAACTACCCACAGATTCATAAGGCACAAAGAATCCTAAACAGAATGAATAGAAAAAGAAATTCACATTTAATTACACCATCGTGAATCTATAGAAAACCAATGGCCATCCTTCCCCCCAAAAAAAAAAATTTTAGAAGGATACAAGTAATTACACCATCGTGAATCTATAGAAAACCAAAGGCCATCCTTCCCCAAAAAAAAAATTTTAGAAGAATACAAGGAACAGAAAGAAATTATGTTCAGAGGAAAACTAAATAATACCTGTCTTTTCAATACCAACGATTCACAAAATAAGATAATGAAATAGTATCTGCAGAGTGCTAAACAATAACAGAAAAAATAAACACCAACCTCGAATTTAATAGCCAGCAAAAACAGCCCTCAAGAAATAAAGACTGTATCAGACAGAAAGTTTGCACATCCAAATTAAAGAACCCTGTAAAGAATATATTTTGATCAGAAAATAAATGAAGACAAGTAGAAAGAGTGGGAAGGAAAAAAAAAGTAGTAAAAACATGGAGAAATGAAAATGGACACTAACTACAATAAAGTAGGATAAAGTAGGATGATGTGGGCGAGTGGATTTTTAAGAAAGAGAAACAAGGGGCCAGCAGGTGGCACAGGAGTTAAGGTGCTGGACTCATACAGTGCTGACCACAGTTCGAGTCTTGGACCTAGCGAATAGAAAATCACGCTGGGCACGTGTGTTCATGCACAGAGCTCCAAGAGAAAAATGGAGGAGGAGGGATTGTGGCATGGCCATCCCCCTGGAGGATGATTTCTTACTTTCCCTCTCACTGTCTCTGGTCTCTGTCTCTCTCTGGAGAAAACATATGCCCTTTGGCAAAGAGAGAGAGAGACAGAGACAGAGACAGAGAGACAGAAACAAGATACACAAATCATCTGATAACAGTAACATACATATATTCTTTTTTTGAGAGAGATTTTTTCGCTATAGGGCACGTGCGCTCACCAGACAGACAGAGAGAGACATAGAGACAGAAAGCGAGAAGTCACCCCCCAGGGGGGATGGTCACGCCACAATCCCTTCTCCTCCATTCTCCTCTCGGGATCTTGGGCACGCACGCACACGCGCCCGGCGTGAGTTTTAAGTCACCGGGTCCGGGATGCGAACCGCGGTCGACTATGTGGGAGTCCAGCGACATAGCCATTACGCTAACTGCTGGTTCCCAACATACATATATTCTGAGGGAACTAAATGGAGTTACACAGGCTGAGTACATACATTGTTAGAGACAAATTTTATTTTAAGGTCACCTTTTCAACAATGAGTTAATATATACAATGTAAATTTTAGAGTGAACAGTAAAAGAACAGAAGGATATAAATACCAACTTTACACAGAGAAAACAATGAAAAAAGTCAATAGGACAAAAAGGTGAAGGTGGAATAAAAGAAAATAGGGATGATGGAAAGTCTGAAAGAATGCAGAATGAACCAAGTATACTAACAATTACAGTGTAAACGGAATACATGCTGCAGTTAAAAGTCAAAAACTGAACAAGCATGTACTTTTTAAAATTGTTTTACGATGGCCTACCCACTGAGGCACAAGAACACAAGTGCCCAACAAGGCTAGAAGCTACTTTGCAAATCTCAGATTTGGATCCCCAGGTTGGCTTGAAAATAACCAGGCAAGTAACTCTTGGAGGAGCTGGAGAGGGAGGGAGGGGGAGGGAGAGAGGGAGGAGTGGGTGAAAGGGTTTGGGTATGGAGGAGGAGTGGAAAAGAATAACATAAAAAATAAATTCTAGAATTCAGTCTTACAATGGTACCTTTGGGAGTCTCAAGTATCAAAAAATAATTTTTTGCCTTCATATTTCTTCTTTTAAATAATTTTTTTTTTTTGGAGAGATTTTCACTATAGGGCGCGTGCGCTCGCCAGACAGAGAGAGACATAGAGACAGAAAGCAAGAAATCACCCCCCAGAGGGGATGGTCACGCAACAATCCCTTCTCCTCCATTCTCCTATCGGGATCTTGGGCACACACGCACACGCGCCCGGCGTGAGTTCTAAGCCACCGGGTGCAGGACACGAACCGCGGTCGACTACATGGGAGTCCAGCGACATAGCCATTACGCTAACTGCTGGTTCCCAATCATTTTAATCTCTAAATTCAGGCCTTCGATTCACTACCATTACAGGCAATTCACAAGTCGTATGTGACTGTTCTCTAAAACTCTGCCTATAGGGCTAGCTGTCTGCTATGTAAAAACATTTTCATATCAAAACCTCTGTTGGGCTAAACCTAGGACGTCCATACAATCTATTATCCAAAAGTAAGCACCGTTGTTTGGTTCCCTCTATCACAATACTAATGCTTCAGTGGGTAGGGCAGGGAGGGAGAAAGAAACATCAAGAAGGAAAGGACAGGACCGCAGGTCTGCTCTGTCGCTGCTGCTAGGAACAGCTTCTTCTGACAAAACTCGATACTACTCAGCGCACTGCAGCCTCAGATCTCTTCCTACCTGGCTTCTCTTCTGAAGAGGCTTTCTGCAAAGAGATTTTCCTCCCTCCCCTAAGGTCAGCACCCAGCTCATCGAAGGACCACCCTACGGCAAGGTGCTCATATGGCAGTGATTCTCTCTCCCAGAGGACATAGGTCAGTAAGCAGCTGATGGGCATCGTAACTGAGGGTGCCAAGGGCATTCAGAGGGTAAGGGAGGGACACTGCTGAACACCCTGCAACACACAGGACAGCTCCCACAGCAAAGCACTGTCTACCCAAAAATGCCCACAGTGTTGAGACTGGAAAACCCTGCCCTATGGGTTTGAACTATTGGCTCTAATAAATAATCAAGCAAAAGGTAAGAAGGAGCAGGCTGTGGAGCCAGATGATACAACTCTCGGCATGGGTGGCCTAGGTGCCAGGTTCGCATCACGTACCTCTCAGAGTTGCTACGTGTGCGCACGTGCCAAAGATCAGGGCTGGCTGGGCCCGGGGTTGGAACACAGCATCGAGACCCTGCTCGGGGCTCTAGTTCTCTATTTCTCTGTCCCTTGCTCACAGGAAAAAGAGAGTACGAGGAGAACAAAGGAGAAAGGATTTGGCATGGCCAGCCCCTCTGGGGGTGATTTCTCACTTTCCCTGTCTCTCTCTGGTGAGCACACAAGCCCTATGGCAAAAAAAAAAAAAAAAATCTTAAAAGAGAAAAAAAGAAGAAATAAACTTAACTAAAAAGAAAAGGAAAAAAAAAAAGGAGTAGGCTGGAAGAAAGGGATGGACTAGGAGGAAAAGAGAATAACAAAGAAAGATCTCAAGAAAGTCAACAAAGAGGAAATAGATTTTCTAGGTTCATCCTGCCAGGGAGCGATCTTTTCTAAATGGTTATTTCACACAGAAAATGCCTAAATATATATAAACTAAGTCTCTATATACACAATTGCCAAGTCAACAAATGATTAAAAAAAAGGGACTTTTTTCAAAAGCTGCCAGAACTGACCGTAGAGCGGTAGTCTTTCAGTAAAACAGGATACTGTATTATTGCCTCAAAGGCCGACAACGTAATCTTGATAAATTCCTCCGACGCTGCCGAGCCTAGGAATACAATTCACTGTTACAGGTGTTCGCTTATACCCTCAACATCACAATATTGAAGTACCTGAATGTCATAAAATGCCCCATGGTCTACTCACCTATGGCTCCATCTATGTTAGTTTCTCCTGAGTCTACCGATTTAATATGACCCTGAAAAAAATAAAATGTCTAATAAATAGAGGTTCTAAGTTAACTCTGAAATATACATGGTTAATGTTTTATCCCAAACTATACTTGTTGTTCTTAATGACATAGCTCATGGAAGATATTAAATACGCTACAGATTTTATAAACGCTATAATCATAGCTTTAAAATATGATTATATTCAATTCTGTACATAAATCATAAAATATAATCATTTCTTTCAATTGTCAGAAGGCACATGTATGAGACAGAGAAGGAGAGAAAGGGAGGGAAAGCACCCCCAATGGGGCATGGTCGTGCCACGACCCCTTCTCCTCTCTTTCTTCATCCTGTCAGGATTTGGGGATGCATGTACGCACACTGAGCATGGTTTTCAAGCTCCCCGGGGCAGGCTTACCACAATAAGCCATGTGGGATCCAGCTTCCCTTAAACACTAGGCTACAGGACTGGCCTATCATTTTTAAATATGAAAATCATTATCAAGGGACCAGCGGATGGCATAATGTTGCGTTGCTAGACTCCCACATAGCCAACCGCAGTTCAAGTCCTGGACCTGGTGGCTTAAAACTCATGTTGAGCATGTGTAAGTGCATGCCCAAAATCCCAAGAGGAGAATGGAGGAGAAAATGACTGTCATGACCATTCCCCCTAGGGGGTGATTTCTTACTTTCTGTCTCTCTGGTGAGCAAATGTGCCCTATAGCAAAAATCCTCTTTAAAAAAAAAAAAATCACTATCACTAAGATTTAATGTTGGGATAAATCCAATAGCATAAAACAGGTTGAACATATCTCTAATATGAAAACTCAGAATCTGAAATGCTCCAAAATATGAACCTTTCTGAGCACTGACAAGACACCACCAAGGAAAAATGTCATGCCACATCTGACCACATGGAACAGTCACGGTCAAAACACAGACACAGCCCAGTCACGTTAGCACACCCTGGATGCTTCTGCAGGGCTGCTGAGGCCACATGGGAGACCCCGGTTCAGTTCCCAGCCAGCCCTAAAAAACTGGGCACTAGAGTGGATGCTGTAGTCCCAGCTGCTAGGGAGGTTGAATCAGAAGGATTGTGACAGAGCTAGACCCTGTCTAAAACGTACATAGACATGAGCACGTGTGCACATACACAAACACCCCCTACTACAAAAAAAAAGGAAAGAGAGCCAACATAGTTTACTCAGCTTATTAGGGACAGAAAACAAAAAAAGACCCTCATCCACCCTGCCCATGTCAGGGGTGATGCTGACTTGCCAAATGATCAGAGACCGTCTGCAGGTGTGGCTGAGACAGTGACATCTTAGCTTTAGCTCAATGTTTTTCCCACGTACAAAATTATTTAAAATATGGCATAAAGAGGGCAGCAGTTGGCATAATGGCTATGTCCCTGGACTCCCATGTAGTCAACTGCGGTTCGAGTCCCGGACCCGGTGGCTTAAACTCACACTGGGCATGTGTGCATGTGGGCTCAAGATCCCAAGAGGAGAATGGAGGAGAAGGGATTGCGGCGTGGCCATCCCCCTGGGGGATGATTTCTCACTTTCTGTCTCTCTGTCTTTCTTTGTCTTTCTGGCGAGTACACGCACCCTATAGCAAAAACCTCTCCAAAAACCTCTCCAAAGTTAAGAAAAAGGGGGGGGGGGGATAAAATTAACTTCACCTACGTGTATAAGGTATATGTGAAACATAAATAAATTTCATGTTTAGATTTGGGTCCCCTCTCCAATATATCTCATTAGGTATATGTAAATATTCCAAAATTCAGGGGGAAAAAAATCTAATTGACTTCTAGTCTCAAGCATTTCAGATATGGAAACTCAACCTGTATAAGGACTTGCATTAGTGTGAATGATTCATTTATCCCTAGCGATTTCCAATGCTGTGCCACACTTAAATACTTTCTTACTGTCTTGGAAGTGAGAACAACACCTCACCAGGTAAGAGAGCTGTCTCAAAGGGAGGTCAAGCCTTAGCTACCCTGAACTTCATCAAGATGCAGCTGTTTAGTTCTCAAGGACTGTCTTCAGATTTCACCACCGTTTCTAGTTTCTCAGAGATACCTCCGACTCGAAACCCTTTTTCAGGCTTCCACACACCACGCTCTTGCTTCCTCTGCAGGAAGCCCCACAGAGCTGTCTAAGAGGCAGGCCTGGGCTGTGAGCTGTCTGAGGCCTCAGCGCCCAGGGCAAGCCAACTCCCCAGTCCCCAGGCAAAGG